TGGCGAATCGATGACGGCTTGTATAATAAGGTTGCCATACGCAGAGCATTTCCGTTTCCTTATGTTGTACGAGTACATATAGAAGTGACCTTATAATTTTGCCGCACACTGTATATGTACATACATATGTATATCGTTACCTTATTAAAGAAAGGCCTATCTCATATAGTCGCTGAGATGCAAAAAAGCGTAATTACCTAAAATTTTTTATTGCATAAAACATGCATGTCTGGACTTATCATTTAATATGGATTATAATCTATGAAAAAATTAATTTTGGATTTTTAGGTAATTACAGATTTTTATATTTCAGCGACGATGTACGTCTATATTAGGGTAACGATATGTAGTATACACTGGCGATTAAAACTGAGTGAATGGTGAATGGCAGGAACATCTTTATAAAAAACTAGCCTGAACCCGCGGCTTTGCTCGCGTGGTAGCAGAATATGGTAGGACAGTTTTATAGCTTGTTTGTTATGGAATGAAATGCAACAATAACTTTGGTAGATATTTATGTCTGCATACCAAATTTCAAGTTCATGTGACTTATGCTACCGAAGTTAAAACCGATAAAAAATTCTACGCCTATGGGATGTGCCACGCCCCTTTCTATAAACTCATTTATATATACCTTACTATATGCACCTACCACAGATATGTCTTCGTACCAAATTCCAAGTTCTTTTGGCTTATGGTTCTCAAGTTATAGCTGATTAATTTCAGGCCTATGGGAGGTGCCACGGCCCTCGCAAAATTTACTAGGTAGTTGCAAATAAAACCATATCTATAACCTTCCCGGTGTAAAAACAAATAAGTGCAGTGACGAGCAAAACTGTAACATGGTTTAACACTTTTTGTTTCAGCCACCGCTATATTTCCAAGTTCTAACGACTTTCATACTATTGTTGTATATTCTTATTGGTACACCCCTACTCCCGCTCTCATAACGATTTGAGGTCAATCCAAAAACAATAAAAAAACCTGGAGACAAAAATGTAAGTTAAGGCCAATGTTACAGTTTTGCACTCACTCTCAGTTTTGCATTTTACAGTTATCTTTTGCTTAGTTGGAAGTCAGATGACTTTTTTCTGTATTGTAATTTATTTAAGAAGTGATCACCTATAAATAATATGGTTACTCAGGAAACATAAATGTAAATAATAGATTTACTGCGAAAAGGCGGGACCGCAGGGAAAGGGGCAAAAAATTGTGGAGCTCGCCACGTGAAAATGTTAAGACTGAGAAAAAATATAGCCTAAAGTGTTACTAAGGACAAAGGAAGTCTGTCAAAATATATTACAGTCCGATATCTTGTGAACTTAGTAGCAAGTAGCGCTGCAGGCACTACTACAGAAGCGCTTAAGGTATTAAAATTGAATGTAAATCAGTAGATAGTGAAGCGAAAAATTACCAAATTGAACGCAATGGATCATAAAAGAATAAAAAAGCTAATTTGATCAAAATACATGTGCGAGTGTGCCAGAGTTTTGCTGCATCGCACGAAAACCGGACATGTTGCGAATGCGAATACGAATATTCGCAACAACCCTGATATGTATGTATTGAAAGTCACATTTACAGATGCAAATACATATCGTGTAGGAACACCTTAAGCATGTACGTACGAATATTTCGCAAAAGTAGAGCGCTGAAGTGGTTTTTCGTCCACTCCAATTTCAGAATAAATGTAAAACGGCGTTTTCTGTTTAACAACTTATCAAAGCCATTGTCAGAGTGGGCTCGCTTATATTCTAGTTATTCCGTACTTTTGCACATTCCCAATCGAAGTAGAAGCTGATTGTTTGTAGTGATTTCAATGAATGAGGTTTTGCCAGTGTAGCGTAGCAAAGAATTGCTTAGCAATTGGTAAGTAGCGCACTTCATAAGAGCGAAAACATTCGAGCTAAATTATCGCAACTATAGAAGTTATCTTTGCTTTCTAAATACACAATATCTATACTTAAACTATATCGATGGATATCTGATGTGTTGAAAATGATAGAGAAAAATAAAATAAAAATGAAAATCATAAGATGACCCCAATATTGTAGAAAAAATAATTAAAAATATTTTTCTTTTGTAATATTATGTTCAAGTAAACGGTATAAAGGTTTATTAAACTTACGTATGTACATACTTTGTATTTGTGCGCAGAGGGCAATGAGAAGGCAACATTTTTGGTAGAGCGGCCAAAAATACTTTTAATGGACTTATCGGGATAAAATTTTTACCCTAAGGTCTGTTAAGAGTAAAAACTGTAATATGTAAAAGTGGGCGGAGTTGGACACGCCCACATACAGTCATGTGAAAAATAATAGCGACACGACATTTTGACCAGTTTCGGCTATTTTTTTTTGTTTGTTTAATGTTTATTTTTTTTTATAAAAATACAACTCACTATCTAATAAAAACCATATATGTCCAAATTTCAAACTTTGTAAAAAAATACGAAAATTCAACAAAATTTTAAGACAACACCAAACTTTTTAATAAGAACTTTTAGGAAAAATCTAGGTGTGCAGTTTTATAGCCCATTAAATTCTAGCTTAAGAAATTGCAAGTTTGAAGTGGCTAAAAATTCGCGTTGATTGTTGATAACTTTTTTTTCACGTAAACTGTAGATCCTTCCTCTTTATGTGACAACATCAAGGCGTACGCCACAAATCGGATGAGAAACTCGGCCAAACACTAACATATTGGGTAAGAGCCAATCTACTATGTATTATTATTATTATTACAAAGAATATGAGTTAGGCACTCCGCACATTAAACTCCTAATCACAGTAGTGTAATCGTTTCGGCATACTAAAGTATAAAGCATTTATGCCGAACCCATGTATTTCAATGAAGCTCTGTAGATTACGATTCAAAATCATGTTTGCGCCTAATCATTAAAGCTTCATGAATCGAAGCGCCCAACATTGTAAGGCGCTTGCAGTTTTGAAATCGTCATTTGTTTACTTTTTTGTGTTGGAAATAAAATTTATTTGTCAATTTAATAGAAAATAATTGGAAATGAACGATTTCGTGCTAAAATTCGTGCAAATTGCATTAAACCACAAGCGTTTATGCAATATTTCGGAGCAGAAATATTTGCGGAAGTGCGTGTTGCGAAAGAACGGCCAAAAAATTTGTTATGTGTAGAAAGTGTTTATTAGCTGGTGACTTATGCAGGGCGTGCAAGTGTGCAGAAGTCGAGTCGTCATGCATTCGTTTCGGTATGATGAAACGATTACTTTACTTTGATTAGGCGCGTAATGTGCCGAGTGCCTTAGTCTTTAAAATATGTACATATCTGTAATGAGTTGAAATGGAATTCATCATGTAGCTGATTTTAATTTGAAAAGCTGTCAAAAATATTTTAAAAAGTCGGCAAGTTTTTTGAATGTTACTGCAATTTTCTTATGTTTACTTCAATTATTATTTTTTTCATGAAACATTCGTTACATTTCTTTTCCTTAATATAGAAAGGCCTTAACTCATTTTCTTTCGAAATTCAGTATCTTACAAAAGTCGTAACATTACACACTGAAAGCCTAATAGCATTTAAAAACAACTTCCACATAATCAAATGTTGAACCCAATTTATTACAAACTGACTGAAAAAGTAAGCGTGAGCGCGCGTGATTTATAAAACGGTCGTCATGAGCGTGTTTGACTGTGGACATCAGCCGAAGCCCCTCACGTGCCCTTCGGTAACACAAGCATTTAATAAAAAGTTTGCGTTTCACATTTTGCAAGACTATTCAATTTATATTTAAAGATTCGAAAACTATTTTTAATATTTGTGGCCAGTTTTTATATGAAGCGCTCTCACTGTTGGTGGCACTGTTCAAATGTAGTGGAATCAACAATGGAAAAGAAATGAGTGAATTAACCTGTAGAAAAAAACGGAAATGTTTAAAATTTATTTGGTTCGATGGAACGCGATTTTTGAAGTAAATATGTATTAAACCTCCATGTAAGTAGGTACATAAGTATGTATGTAGTAAGCAGTTTGGTCAAAATTGGAAATCGGAATTCGGTAACGGATATTGAATGACATCCAAACACAAAACCAAAACTGACTTTCTATTACTACGTTTATGCGTTTGTCATTTCACAAAATCGATTCAGGAATTGTAGTTTAACTACATGAATTGAATACATGAAATGGTGGTAATGCAGACATTAATGACACACGTAGTATGTACTCGAATGTGAGTAGGGTGTTCAGCGTATTAATTGAAATAATATGTGTGGTTTACTTAATTGTAATCGAAAAAAGCATTACTGTCGCTACTGTGGAAACGTCGAAGATAACGTGCACCATACATTCATTCTTCGCTTGCGAACACTTCTTGATTTCGCGCAGAATGTTGGAAGAAAGATACGGAGACATAACTCCGAACGACATAATTGGGGTAATGATCTCCAGTGCAGACAAGTGGGAAGCAGTTGCGAGATACGTGAAATTCGAACTCCCTGGCAAACGAGAGGACGGATGTCTACTGAGGACACCCGAATGAAACGCCCCTACAAATGAGCCGTCCCGAGGCTCTAGCAGCGCGCTCCTGCATCTGAAGACATGCAGAATTGCGGTGCCAGATGCGGAATTCTTGCGCGGGCGGTGGGACTTTGGGTTTTAGTGGGTGGCCCAAC